CAGTGTAATTTGTGGGCTGTATTATAAAACAATGTAGGACTTCCTGAAGTATAGTGAGAAGACTGGGAGTGCTAGGATCTAGGAACAGTTCTAGGATCAGGCTTAAACAAAAGTAAATATAAAGTATAGTGGTATCTATGTAAAGCCATGACTGTATATATGTAAAGTGGTGCAGCTATCAACACATCTATAAATTTATAGACCATAAATGCCTTAATGGTCTTGCTCCCTCATACCTTTCCGAGTTACTTCAGCCTTAGATCCCTTCGCAGACCCTTAGATCAGCTGCTTTTGGTTGTCCCAAAATCTAGGCTAAAACGAAGAGGAGAACGAGCCTTTTCAATTATGGCCCCAAAACTTTGGACTACGCTGCCTTTAAATATTAAACAGGCATCTTTGTTTCCTGTTTTTAAGTCGCTTTTGAAAACACACCTTTTTTCGATAGCGTTCAGACTGGTGTGAGTTGATATGTTTATTATGTGCATTATTGTGTTTTTATGTGAGTATTAGTGGCTTTATCTTTGTTTCTGTACAGCACTTTGGGCAAACTTTCTGTTTTTAAATGTGCTATATAAATAAATTGGATTTGGATTTGGACATCTAGCACAAAGCAAATATAATTATTTATTTAACCAATAATAAAAATTGAGATACTTTCTTTTTTCACATACAGAAATGTCTTTCTCAAGATGTCCATTCTGTCTGTTTTGTGTTATTATTGGATGAGTAAGGTGCCTGCTAAAGGTTCAGTAAGTAATAAATATCCATTTATTTCCATTTTTTAAACACAACATTTATTTATCTGTCCCTACTTTATTCAGCAGGCATAGATATTCATTCGTGAATTTGTTTCATTCATCAGGGTTGGGAGTCCATGGTAGGGCAGTCTTTGTACCGTCTGGTCCTTTTTGACTTCCTTTTCCTGATGTTGGGATCTTTCTTTGGAGAGTTTCTTAGCAAGTGAGTTATCGAATTTCAATTCATATTTTAAATTGTTAGATGGACCTATGTTTAAAATCACATACTCAATTTCTTTCTAATAGTGTGATCGGGACAAAATTAATACCACGCATGGGGGTTCCTGAGTTTGACGTAGCCAGAAATGTGCTTGAACTCATCTATTCACAGACGCTGGCCTGGTATGAACCATATGAACGATACATTCGACATTTCATAAGTTCTAGCAGTGTGTCAGTGGATTTTAGTCAGATCTTATGTTATCTAACTTGATCTTGGACCTTTTTAAATTATTTAAATGCAATCATCTATTTTCTCTCCACAGGATTGGAATCTACTTCTCTCCTCTGCTACCTGCCATGCAGATTCTCAAATTCTTCATCCTGTTTTATCTAAAGAAGGTAAATGCTGCTACCAGGACTGCTCCATGCTCCATAAGGGTCATGTTACTCTATTTGCACACCTCAGTCAATAATTAATTAAAATCCTTTCATCACATTGAATGGATGCTTTATTTTGGGTAATGGAAAAGAGAGCCTGGGTTTCGGATTTAAGGAGTAACCATTATGGTTTAATGCTACCAGACACGATCAATCAATCACTGAAATTTAATGAACTTTGTAGGATTTGTAATTTGATCTAGGCCAGATCTGCTGATGCTGTGTGTTTCATGAACCTGCTGAATGATCTTTTAAAAAGTCAATTCCAAGCTCTGTTTTCTGTTATGACTCACAAGTTTATTAGTAAAGTTACTACAAAAATAAATCAATAATATGTTTGTTTATGGATGTGTATTTATGGGGTAGTACAAGTTTGTTTTTTGCACTTCTCAGGTCAGTCTCACACATAACTGTCAGCCCCCACGGCGATCTGGCAGGGCAGCTCAGATGCAAACCATCTTCATCTTCCTTCTCTTCTTCCCGTTCTTCGTGGGAGCCCTGTCAATCGTTGCATACACTGCCTGGAGGTAAGAGGACATGACTTCAACTGCTAAAAAAGAGAAAAATATATCCATCAATTCTATTTTATTCTTTTCTAAGCTAAAATAAAATAACATATTTATATATATTTGTCTTTGATTAATAATGCATTTTGTATTGAAAATACAGAAAAGTTCCAGTCTCAGTCTTGTTTTGTTAACTCTGTCTTGCTCCACAGCCTGACTCCCTCAAAGTCCTGTGGCCCTTTTCGTGGACTCAACAATTCCTTCAGTGCGGTTGATGTCTGGATAGGTGATCTAAAAAACATCACTGGCTCTCAGTGGGTCGTCGAGATTTACAATAATGTCATCCGGAGTGAAATCTTCTATTTTCTAATCACACTCATCATCCTGTAAGTACATAGTGCAAGTGCTGTCTTATGTGCACAGCATGTACTTTGTAACGTTGACTGAAAAAGTCCAAGCCATGTTTTGCATATAACTGAGCTTTGCATATGAATGCTCATATGTACTGATGCAAAATTTGTGTCATTAAGCAAATGGTTTTCTTGTGTACAATTTTACTGCTCAGTGTCATCATATACATATTGTGGCAAGTCACTAATGGCCGAAAGGAGCTTATTCGTCGTCTGAGACAACAGATTGTCAACGTGAGTTTGTTCTAGAAACTGTTTCCCTTAATATATGTTTCACCAGACCTCAGGAACGAGTGGAACTTGTCTAGTCTTGAATACATTTACATTTTGTTTATGTTTTTGTTTTTGTTTGCCTGACTGCTTCTGTTTCCCTCCCACCAGGAAGGGAAAGACAAGTCCTTCTTGTTAGAAAGGTTACAGGACCTTCAAAAATCTATCCCAAACAAAAACACCAAACAGAAGAAACAAAAAGGGGTTTGTTGTGAAAATTATTTCATGCTGACATCACTTTGCATGTAGAAGCTTGTTATCAGCCTTACTGAATATTTTATTTTCTGTTTAGAGCATGAAACAGCATTCATATGATCACTCATCTGGTGATCAGTCCAACTCAAATGCCATGGTTCAAGCTTTACTTGCACATCAGCAACTTGAAGAGGAGGAGAAAAGATACAGCATTGGTGGAGTACCTGTTCCTTCTGAAATGTCCAACTCTAGTCCTCTGATGCAAGCCATGTTGGCCCGTCAACTAGCTGACCAGGAGAATGAAGATCAGTATCCGATGCATGATGAAAACCCATCATCTCCCAGTGCACTTGCTCAGGCCATGGCAGCCAGAAACAGGGTGGAGGATGAAGAGAACAATCAATATGACATTTTCAACAGATCCAGTGCCGTCACACAGGCCATGCAAGCCAGAAGAAGAGCAGAGGACACAGAAGATGACATGGGTGACCTGCCGCATCCAGTGTCAAGTGTCATGATGCAGGTCATGCAGGCCAGGCAGCAAGCACAGGAAAATGACAGAATTCAGTGGATGACTGCTCCACCACAAAACCCTGGGCCTTCAGGCTCCAGTGCTCTTATCCAGGCCATGCTAGCCCGGCAGGCGGCCCAGAATGAATATGATGATGGTTACTGAACAAAATGCTGAGTTTTATCTTACTGTGATGAAAAAACAGATGCATGAAAAACATTCACGTGGCTTTTTAAGACTGAATTTGCACTTTGCGAAGAATCTATGAAAGAGATGAGTGTGCAGGTCCACCTCTTAATTCAACTTTTATACGAGTAAATTTTGAAATCTTTCTATGATAGTATGTCAGCCTTGTGTGATGAGTAATCCTAAACATAAATTTGTGCCATTTGTAATGTAATTGTTGTATAAGTTGTTAATTGTTGCACATAATGAAATGTGAGCTAGAAAAGGCAAAATAAAGGCAAATGTTAAAAAAAAAATGCCCCTGCAAAATTTGTTACAGTTGTTTCTGGAGTGAAATGTAATTTTCCCAAGTGGCTGATAAAGACAACACTGCCCTCTTCAGGAACTATGCATACATTGCTACATTTGATTTTTGATTTTTTTTTTTCAAACGTTCAAACGCTCTTGTTCTGGGCATTTTTAGAACGCTCTCCAGACACAGGAAAAAAAATACTAGGTTGAATATTATTTATTTTATTTATGCAAAAAAAAAAAAAAACTACTGAAATCAACTTTGTACTATTTTTACAGTTCAAAAATGTAACTGAAAAAGTTTAATAAACTGTGTGTTCTATACTTGTATCATACTAAAAACACCAGATGTGTTTTGTGGTGGGAGAGTAACAGTCAATCAAAACACAGTTTTGAAATGGGGAACTTTAATAGTCATCATACTTGCTTGAAACACTCCGCAGAGCCATTTTACCGTCATGACGTTTCTACTTTTCTCCAGTTAAAGCAGAATCATCAAATGAAAATGACTTATACTGTTAGAAATGTGGTGTACTGACTGTCATAACTCCAATAGTGCTAGTGTTTATGGGAATTTTGTTCTCTGCGGTAAATTTCTTTCCAGTTTTAAAAAAAAAAACAAAAAACTATTCTAGTCCATCAAAAGTGTTTTGCAAATGATCGTTTGAGCTTTATGACACCATCAAACTTAGCCAAGGTGAACATTCAAAAGAAAAATGATACATTATTACCAACAATCATTCTGTGTACAAACTTTACATCTATTTTACAATAAATAGTACCATAAATACTGTAAACAGGCACATCATTTGCAGTATACATTTATGGCTTTGATTCACAAGAATGAAAACCCAGCTAGATTTTCTGACTGAACATGTCTAATAAGGCTAGAAGCATTAAAGAGACACATTCTTTTGAAACAGTATAGATACACTTAACATTTACATTTTAAATCTACATCGTGGTAAGCTGCACAAAAGAAAAAACAAACACCTTCATGTCCACTTTTACCATTTGCCAGCTGCAATTTTCCAACTTTAAACTTATACAACTTAAACTTTCATGATGGGTTTTCATTAAGGCAGTACTTAAATGTGTCAGACAGGGCTAACACCGCGGCCTGTTATCTTTGTAGGTGTTCGTCCCACAGTGAAAACTTACCAAAGACAACTATGCTTCAGTCCAATGAGATGCCACATTAAGAGAAATGCCGCCACCTACTGTCCTTTCTCACTCAGCACTGCTCTTCCCCCAAAGAATTTGCAATGTCACTGAAGTCCAGCGAGTCACCTGGTATAGGAGTTTTCCTGCCACTCTTTATGGTCTGACTAGAGTAATAATCCACAGATTTGGAGATGGAGTGCACAGAGTGCCCCCGGAAATATCCGAATGCCTCCCGTGCGTCCTCCTCCCTGATGCTTTGCTCGAAGGTCTTGCGTTTGTGTCTGAACTCAATGACGGTCTTCGTATAGGAGTTGAGGGTGGTGACAGATGCGCCCATACAGCAGGTGAAGGAAGCCCAGGCCATGCTGATATAAAACAGCAAGAGAATTCATATTTTAATAAACAGATGTGGTAGCTGAAAAAAAAAAAAAACTAACAAAAAAAAGTGAAAACCTAATGGTGCGCTTCAGTGTGGTGAGGCATTCTGACGTTTTACCCTCAATACCGTGACACTGTATTTGGTAAGATTAGTGCCAATCACTTTAAATCCCCCTGGTCTCCTCAAGCAGGCTGGTTCGCATGTGAGGTCAGACAATCAAATCATCATCCCATGTTGTTTTCATGCAGACGGGATAATTCCCACAGAAGGTCAAGAATTGTTTAGCCTCCAAAATGAATTTTCAGCATACTGTGCACATTGTAAAGGAGTAAAATATTATTCCCTTATGCAATTCTAATCACACCCGCACTGGGGCTTTGGACACCAAAGCCTAATCCTACCATAACACGAGAGCTTTGGGCTTTTTTCATTACAGACAGTGATGCTGAAGAGAGGTGAGATCAGAGCTTCTGCTGACAGTGCGAGGCAGCGACATGCAGAGTGGACTTCTTCATCCTGTTTCTTAAAGAACGATTTGACTTAACTCTATCTATGTAACACTATAAATAACACAGCGTATAAAATTATCTGTATTGAGGTGGATGTTTGCAGAGTCTTACCAGAAAGACCAGCCATAGTCCCAGTTGTAGGGCCTCCAATCTGGTGGGCCAAGGCTGACGGTGACCTGGAAAACCTGTGTGTACATGACATGAGCCACCATGCCGAGAAGACCTGAAATCATATGCACAGTATATTGTTAGT